TGAGTCGAGAACGAAGCCATCTATACTACCGTGACCCTTCATCTGAGCCGATCAGGTGGCATATCAATCTCAACTCAATTAGCTACTAGCTTCCACGAGCCTCAATCTTTGCAACAAATGGTGCACACTAGACAATTATGTCGGGCACACGGTAGCAAATTAGTGTAAAGACTGAAGTAAGACTTAACGGAGTTCCTGGAGTGATATTAGGTACCTTTACCAAGGTATTGCTACGGGAAGATGTTCTACCGAGATGGTCTTTGCCTTGAGAACCATATTGCTAGGCAAGATGCTATCTTGGGTAGCGTGCAATCTTAGGTCACAGATCTTTATCCAAGCACTCGCTCGGGAATAGGACAATGAGCCAAGAGGCCTAAACCAATCACAGCCTGTCGTACAAGTCGGCTAGAGATGATTGTGGGGGGGAGGGAATTATCAGGGGAAAGTGCCAAGCCATTACGACTATATAGCCCTGGGAAGGGGTCAGGATAAGGATTTGGGATGGGACGGGGATAGGAATGGTGCCCAACCACTTGTGGACGGTCGGGGGTTGAACGTTGACCTGCATGAAGCGAGACCGTCGCTCTACCGTCCAGTCCAGGGGGGGGGGGGAAGTAGCCGAGATGGTTGGGCAAGTTGGGATGGCCTCACATTAACCACGTCAAGTGACCTATCAATCTTGAAGCTATCCTCGGCGTCTCCTAGCCCGTAGGATAGTGAATTCGAATGATGACTATTGTCGATATCATCATCCTGGGAGCTCGTAGAGTAGGCTGTGCAACAGCCATTGCATCTGCAATGCAGTCTCTCTCTCGCACGGGCTCTCTGAAGAAACCCAACAAGATTGACCTGAACAAGGGGACTATTATCAACCATGGTTGCATGTGCACACTATTGCAGACTCCACTCTGCCGTCTTCATGGCTTGCACTCACATTGCAACCTTTAAGACGTCACATTGCAATCTTAAGACGTCACATTGCACCCTTTAAGACGTCACATTGCAATCTTAAGACGTCACATTGCAACCCTTAAGACGTCACATTGCAATCTTAAGACGTCACATTGCAACCCTTAAGACGTCACATTGCACCCTTTAAGACGTCACATTGCACCCTTTAAGACGTCACAGTGCACCCTTTAAGACGTCACATTGCAACCCTTAAGACGTCACATTGCAATCTTAAGACGTCACATTGCACCCTTTAAGACGTCACATTGCACCCTTTAAGACGTCACATTGCAACCCTTAAGACGTCACATTGCAATCTTAAGACGTCACATTGCAACCCTTAAGACGTCACATTGCACCCTTTAAGACGTCACATTGCACCCTTTAAGACGTCACATTGCACCCTTTAAGACGTCACATTGCACCATTTAAGACGTCACATTGCACCATTTAAGACGTCACATTGCACCATTTAAGACGTCACATTGCACCATTTAAGACGTCACATTGCACCATTTAAGACGTCACATTGCACCCTTAAGACGTCACATTGCACCCTTTAAGACGTCACATTGCAACCCTTAAGACGTCACATTGCAATCTTAAGACGTCACATTGCACCCTTTAAGACGTCACATTGCACCCTTTAAGACGTCACATTGCACCCTTTAAGACGTCACATTGCAACCTTTAAGACGTCACATTGCAACCCTTAAGACGTCACATTGCACCCTTTAAGACGTCACATTGCACCATTTAAGACGTCACATTGCACCATTTAAGACGTCACATTGCACCATTTAAGACGTCACATTGCACCATTTAAGACGTCACATTGCACCATTTAAGACGTCACATTGCACCCTTAAGACGTCACATTGCACCCTTTAAGACGTCACATTGCACCATTTAAGACGTCACATTGCACCATTTAAGACGTCACATTGCACCCTTAAGACGTCACATTGCACCCTTAAGACGTCACATTGCACCCTTTAAGACGTCACATTGCACCCTTAAGACGTCACATTGCACCCTTTAAGACGTCACATTGCAACCATTAAGACGTCACATTGCACCCTTTAAGACGTCACATTGCAACCATTAAGACGTCACATTGCAACCCTTAAGACGTCACATTGCACCCTTTAAGACGTCACATTGCAACCTTAAGACGTCACATTGCAACCTTAAGACGTCACATTGCACCCTTAAGACATATGTGCAACTCCACTCTCTGACATTCACGTAAGGGAATATGTAAAAGAATGGAAGGGGGTACAGAGTGTTACGTGAATAAGAGAGATGTGCACAGGAATAGGAGAGAGAGAGAGAGAGAATGATAAATGAATTGGGGGGGGGGAAATTGGGTAGGGTTCCAGAATATAGGGAAAGGGGGGGGGGTAGAAGGGAGTACCGGAATGAGAGTGGGAGAGGAAAAGAGAGAGAGAGAGAGAAGTACAGAGATCAGAAAAGGCATAAAATGCACAGTAATAGTTTACTTGATCAAATGCAGGGAAAATTTTCACTGAATGAAGGCACTGCGAATGAAATAAATAGGGAAAATGGGTTACAAAATAACATGTGCCACCATAACAATGAGGTAATAGGTACTTTTAAATTGATTTATTAGACCTTGGATTAGGTCTATATTCTCTGCAAGTGTAGGGTGATCCCGCTTACCAATTTGTGCTTGCAGGATCGAGCTTTAGCTCGCGGATGTATCCTTTCCATCATGCGGTTGTCAAATACTACGTATGAACGTGAGAAAGCTTGACACGTATACAAAAGATAAAAAAAAAAATACATTAGCATATCTTCATTCTAAACACAGTTGACAAGATTTGATATAGGATTCACTATCTCTCAAACCTACGAATCAGTTCAGGCAAGTCCCCCTTAACCCATTGCGTAGCGAAGTGAACCTAATTCCACCCCCCACCACCCCCTCAAAAAGTGCCTTACCCCCTCCCCTTTTCCCCCCTAACTCCCCCACCCCCTCCCTTTCCCCCCTAACTCCCACACCCCCTCCCCTTTTCCCCCCTAACTCCCCCCACCCCCTCCCTTTCCCCCCTAACTCCCCCCACCCCCTCCCTTTCCTTCCCCCCTAACTCCCCCACCCCCTCCCTTTCCCCCCTAACTCCCCCACCCCCCTCCCTTTCCCCCCTAACCCCCTCCCTTTCCCCCCCTAACTCCCCCACCCCCCTCCCTTTCCCCCCTAACCCCCTCCCTTTCCCCCCCTAACTCCCCCACCCCCCTCCCTTTCCCCCCTAACTCCCCCCCACCCCCCTCCCTTTCCCCCCTAACTCCCCCACCCCCCTCCCTTTCCCCCCCCTAACTCCCCCACCCCCCCTCCTTTCCCCCTAACTCCCCCCCACCCCCTCCCTTTCCCCCCTAACTCCCCCACCCCCTTCCCTTTCCCCCCTAACTCCCCCTTCAAGTATACACAAATTCCTTTTTATGCTCTGTGAGTGTCGTTTGGCGAAGCGTCACTCAGCCAAATGGGACAAAACCCTGGCAGCTGTGGAGTAGTAAAGATGGAAGGGGACAAATGTGATGATTGAGACTAGTAAATGGGAAGGAAGTAGATTGGATAAATGACTCGGTAATGCGATTGATAGGGGGGCAGATGTCGATAGACCGTGGTAAAGGGGGAAGTGGAAAGATAAACATGATAAATGGTGAATGATTTAAAGGGGGGGATAATTATGTAATTAGTGGGAAACTTGTAAATAAAAATCAATGAAAAGTGGTTTAAAAAAACTGAGGATATGACAAAAAATATTTGAAATGTGGGTATAAAAATACAAAAAAATTAATTGGTTATGTAAAACCTGGTTAAATTACTTATTTACAAATTTCACTTTTAATAACGAGCAAGTAAATGACAGTTGATAAATTAAAGAAAATTGTAAATACCAAACTAACAAAAAATACAGAGTATAGTTTAAGTGTAAATAGAGAGAGTATAATTTAAGTGTAAATACAGAGAGTATAGTTTAGGCCTACTTTGTTCAGGGACAGAGAGATACTTGCTGATTTCCTCTATAAGAAATTGAGCTGATCTGATTGACCCTAACTTGGTTGCTTGGCCTTAATTCCTGTACAAAACCCATAAGGAGGATAATGAATAATGTTGGAATGAATAAAACTGAAGATATAAAAATTGAATGACACTTTTTTTGTTATAAAAAAATGGAAAAAATTGGAAATCTAGAATGGCATTCACAGTAAATGTGCGCTTTATGTATGTACTTATACAGTTGCTGTTTTCAGGATGCTTGCAGGATTGAGCTTCAGCTCGTAGACCCCCTTTTCTTTCCAGCCGGCGTTAGCCTATCGTAGTAGTTCTCAAACTTTATCTATCGTAGACCACTTTAAATGTCTTCGTTTAAAGTGCATTCATTTCCTGCATCAGCGAAGATAACTTCTTTAAGAATATGTGAAGCAGTCATTATAGCAGCCAGAAGTTGAATATACCTTGTAGCCGTATACCCCCCTATAGGGGGGCCTCGTAGCCTGGTGGATAGCGCGCAGGACTCGTAATTCTGTGGCGAGTCCTGCCAAATAGGTACCTGGGAGTTAGTCAGCTGTCACGGGCTGCTTCCTGGGGGTGGAGGCCTGGTCGAGGACCGGGCCGCAGGGACACTAAAGCCCCGAAATCATCTCAAGATAACCTCAAGAAGAAGATGCCCCCCAATACTGATATATTAAGCTTCTAAAATCACTCAGTCTCTGGGAATGATTAGTTAGAGAACTGTGGAAACCTCCTTGCCTTTTCTAGAGCTGGAAAAGGACCACCTTGAGGAACGAAGTCATGACTCAAGCTAGATTCCAGTGAATGTCTGACTCCTGCTCAGGCCGGAGGTCTTCGTCTGAAAACTTGTCATGATTTTTTTCCCCCGTTGGGTTTCCATACCACCGTAAGACATTTCTGTTCGGCGACCCGGACCGATACGACTCCTGGCTCTCAGGTCGTTTGGGTTCACAGGGACGAGTGTTTATGATTTTGGGTTTAGTCTGCTGGTGGAAAGACGGAGTCTGCCATACTATTGGTTTAAAAGATGCTGGAGGGGGGAGGGGAGGGGGGGTCTGCGGGTCTTCTTAGTCTTTAGGTGGGGTCTTTGGACGTGGGGTCTTTGGACGTGGGGTCTTTTGAACGTGGGGTCTTTTGAACGTGGGGTCTTTTGAACGTGGTCTTTTGAACGTGGGGTCTTTTTGAACGTGGGGTCTTTTGGACGTGGGGTCTTTTGAACGTGGGGTCTTTTGAACGTGGTCTTTTTGAACGTGGGGTCTTTTGGACGTGGGGTCTTTTGGACGTGGGGTCTTTTGAACGTGGTCTTTTGGACGTGGGGTCTTTTGAACGTGGGGTCTTTTGAACGTGGGGTCTTTTGGACGTGGGGTCTTTTGAACGTGGGGTCTTTTGGACGTGGGGTCTTTGAGCGTGGGTCTTTTGAACGTGGGGTCTTTTGAACGTGGGGTCTTTTGAACGTGGGGTCTTTTGAACGTGGGGTCTTTTGAACGTGGGGTCTTTTGAACGTGGGGTCTTTTGAGCGTGGGGTCTTTTGAGCGTGGGGTCTTTTGAGCGTGGGGTCTTTTGGACGTGGGGTCTTTTGAACGTGGGGTCTTTTGGACGTGGGGTCTTTTGGACGTGGGGTCTTTTGAACGTGGGGTCTTTTGGACGTGGGGTCTTTTGAACGTGGGGTCTTTTGAACGTGGGGTCTTTTGAACGTGGGGTCTTTTGAACGTGGGGTCTTTTGAACGTGGGGTCTTTTGAACGTGGGGTCTTTTGAACGTGGGGTCTTTTGAACGTGGGGTCTTTTTGGACGTGGGGTCTTTTTGAACGTGGGGTCTTTTTGAACGTGGGGTCTTTTTGAACGTGGGGTCTTTTTGAACGTGGGGTCTTTTGAACGTGGGGTCTTTTTGGACGTGGGGTCTTTTGAACGCGGGGTCTTTTGAACGCGGTCTTTTGAACGCGGGGTCTTTTGAACGCGGGGTCTTTTGAACGTGGGGTCTTTTGGACGTGGGGTCTTTTGGACGTGGGGTCTTTTGGACGTGGGGTCTTTTGAACGTGGGGTCTTTTGAACGTGGGGTCTTTTGAACGTGGGGTCTTTTTGGACGTGGTCTTTTGAACGTGGGGTCTTTTTGGACGTGGGGTCTTTTTGGACGTGGGGTCTTTTGAACGTGTGGTCTTTTGAACGTGTGGTCTTTTGAACGTGTGGTCTATTGAACGTGGTTCTATTGAACGCGGTTCTTTGAACGTGGTTCTTTGACTTCAGCTGACAGCTGCTTTGCCGGTTATTAAACCACATTGTTGGACTTGCTGAGCTCCAGAGAGTCCATTGGTCGCCTGACGTAACCACGTGTCTGATGTCACTGGCCGTTTACAGACCGTCTCCTGAGCGATCCTCAAGGTTTACCCGTTCCTCAAGGTCTGCTGAACGATCTTCTGGACATCAGTGTCCTTCCCAAGTGATGACGAATCTTAGAAAATACAAATATTTGTGCTGGATTCATTGGTCTAACCATTTCGGTCATGTGTAGTAACGCATGAAAATACACATACATGATTCTGAATGGGGGGAAAAATAAATATAATTGGATGAAGATATGTTGATTCAGAGGCAAGAGATTGGGACACTCAAGATTAGTAAGGTGAAGAGTGAGGAGGAGCATTTGAAACGCTGATTAGTAAAAAAAAAATAAGTGACTTAGGATCAGACATAATCAAGGAGGGAGAAGTAAGAATGATTAGCAAGTGAGAGGAATGATTAGCAAGTGAGGGAGTGGTAGGCTTATCTAAGGAGAGGAATTATGAGAGGATCTGGAGGAGAAATGGGAAGATTAGATTAAGAAAATTGGGAGGCGGGGGGGAAGGGAAGGGAACTATCAAGGGGAAAGCGCCAAGCCACTACGACTATATAGCACTGGGAAAGGGTCAGGATAAGGATTTGGGATGGGACGGGGGGAAAGGAATAGTGCCCAACCACTTGGACGGTCGGGGGATTGAACGCCGAATAGCATGACGCGAGACCGTCGCTCTACCGTCCAGCCCAAGTGGTTGGGTGGGGGTGGGGGGGGGGGAGCAAATTTAAAACATTACTCAAGCACTTAAGAATAAAGTTGAGACTATGGCAAGTAAAGACAAGAAGAAGAAAGCTGTAGATGCAATTATTCACGTAGTAATGATGCAAAGTGTTAGGTGAGGAAAGGCTACAGAGGAACAGGGGCACCTGTAATGTAGGGATTAATTGAAGAAAAGTCAATATGCGTACTTATAAAATCACTCAAAGCAGAGGGGGAGTGAGGTCCCCTTCCCCCATCTTGAAGGGTGAGGTCCCCTTCCCCCATCTTGAAGGGTGAGGTCCCCTTCCCCCATCTTGAGGGGTGAGGTCCCCCCCATCTTGAGGGGTGAGGTCTCCCCCCCATCTTGAGGGGTGAGGTCTCCCCCCATCTTGAGGGGTGAGGTCTCCCCCCATCTTGAGGGGTGAGGTCTCCCCCCATCTTGAGGGGTGAGGTCTCCCCCCCATCTTGAGGGGTGAGGTCTCCCCCCATCTTGAGGGGTGAGGTCTCCCCCCATCTTGAGGGGTGAGGTCTCCCCCCATCTTGAGGGGTGAGGTCTTCCCCCATCTTGAAGGGTGAGGTCCCCTTCCCCCATCTTGAAGGGTGAGGTCCCCTTCCCCCATCTTGAAGGGTGAGGTCTCCCCCCATCTTGAGGGGTGAGGTCCCCTTCCCCCATCTTGAAGGGTGAGGTCCCCTTCCCCCATCTTGAAGGGTGAGGTCTCCCCCCATCTTGAGGGGTGAGGTCTCCCCCCATCTTGAGGGGTGAGGTCTCCCCCCATCTTGAGGGGTGAGGTCCCCCCCATCTTGAGGGGTGAGGTCCCCCCCATCTTGAGGGGTGAGGTCACCCCCTATCTTGAGGGGTGAGGTCCCCCCATCTTGAGGGGTGAGGTCTCCCCCCTTCTTGAGGGGTGAGGTCCCCCCCCATCTTGAGGGGTCAGGTCCCCCCCCCATCTTGAGGGGTGAGGTCCCCCTATCTTGAGGGGTGAGGTCCCCCCCATCTTGAAGGGTGAGGTCCCCCCCATCTTGAGCCATGATGATTTTGTGTATAAACAGAATGGCTCTGTTGGGAGTGGGAGCCGAGCGGACAGCACATTGGACTTGTGAAATCCTGTGGTCCCGGGTTCGATCCCGGGCGCCGGCGAGAAACAATGGCCAGAGTTTCTTTCACCCTATGCCCCTGTTACCTAGCAGTAAAAATAGGTACCTGGGTGTTAGTCAGCCGTAACGGGCTGCTTCCTGGGGGTGGAGGCCTGGACGAGGACCGGGCCGCGGGGACACTAAAGCCACGAAATCATCTCAAGATAACCTCATGAAGCTCGTTATTGGTTCAACACCCCCCCCCAAACCCTCTTAGTAACCTCTTAGCCATTTTTTTCATGGGTACTTCTGAGTAGAAAGTCCTTGTTACCATGGTCTTAAAATCTAGCATTCACTGTAGGTATGGTGACGAAATATTCTTGCGGGTTCTTGAGAATGAGCTTACTTCACCGTGGAGGGAAGTACTGTGCTAACTGTCACTATCGTATTAACACAATCGTGTATAAAAATGTAGATACAAAATTAAACAATGCCATAATAAAAAATACATGAATTAAAAAATAATTGAATTGTAATTTTTTATTTGTTTATGGTAATACGGCCAAAGTTTGAATATCAGAAAATTCGTGTTAATTTTCCCTAACTCGCTGAATAATTTTATATACAAATATATTTATATTTGTATAAAGAAAAATTTATACAAATATATTTGTATTTGTATAAAATCTATAAGAAACTTTAGATTTTTTCTTCAAAATAAGTAGTTAAACATTTGTGTTGTATTCTTGAAATTGGGCAAAAAGAACCAGCCTATGTTTATCCTGTACCCCCAGACTATTCACCATGTCAGCAGAAAATATGTTAGGTCATATTTTTCACGTGTTTTAACATTTTCTGCTGACATGGTGAATAGTCTGGGGGTACAGGATAAACATAGGCTGGTTCTTTTTGCCCAATTTCAAGAATACAACACAAATGTTTAACTACTTATTTTGAAGAAAAAATCTAAAGTTTCTTACAGATTTTATACAAATACAAATATATTTGTATAATTTTTTTCTTTATACAAATATAAATATATTTGTATATAAAATTATTCAGCGAGTTAGGGAAAATTGACACGAATTTTCTGATATTCAAACTTTGGCCGTATTACCATAAACAAATAAAAAATTGCAATTTAATTATTTTTTAATTCATGTATTTTTTATTATGGTATTGTTTAATTTTGTATCTACATTTTTATACACGATTGTGTTAATACGATAGTGACAGTTAGCACAGTACTTCCCTCCACGGTGAAGTCAGCTCATTCTCAAGAACCCGCAAGAATATTTCGTCACCATACCTACAGTGAATGCTAGAGTTTAAGACCATGGTAACAAGGACTTTCTACTCAACCATTTTTTTTCATGGGTACTTCTAAGAGGTTACTAAGATAGGTGTGGGGGGGGGGGGGGGGTTAAAACCAATAATGAGCTTATTGAGGTTATCTTGAGATGATTTCGGGGCTTTAGTGTCCCCGCGGCCCGGTCCTCGACCAGGCCTCCTTTTTGTTACACCCCCCCCCCCAGGAAGCAGCCCGTAGCAGCTGTCTAAATCCCAGGTACCTATTTACTGCTAGGTAACAGTGGCATCAGGGTGAAAGAAACATTTTGCCCATTTGTCTCCGCCTCCACCGGGGATCGAACCCGGAACCTCATGACTACGAATCCGAAGCACAGTCCACTCAGCTGTCAAGCGCCTAAATAAGACTTCCTGGAAACGCAAGAAAGTTTAAATAACTTGAATAGACAAGATCTTAAAGAGGACTAAACATTGTCTCTAAGTTACAAAGTCTTACAACAGTACCGGGATTTCTAAAGTAGGAAACGTCTTGCCAAGAAAGAAAACAAATGGTTTCTATAGGTTATCTTGAGAGGTTACCTTGAGATGATTTCGGGGCTTTAGTGTCCCCGCGGCCCGGTCCTCGACCAGGCCTCCACCCCTAGGAAGCAGCCCGTGACAGCTGACTAACACCCAGGTACCTATTTTACTGCTAGGTTCTGTTCTTTTTCTACAGGGAAGATCTAAGTGCCGCTACACAAGGCCGGGTCTAGTACACGGCCCAACCCATTTTCTCGACTTGACACTTACAAAAACACAAAAAAAGGCAGCTTTTTCGGGTAAATAGAGGCGACTAGAACTTACCCACCCGGGTAAAACTTACCCGGGTTCGATGCCGGGCGCCGGTGAGAAACAATGGGCAGAGTTTCTTTCACCCTTGATGTCCCTGTTATCTAGCAGTAAATAGGTATCTGGGAGTTAGTCAGCTGTCACGGGTTGCTTCCTGGGGGTGGAGGCCTGGTCGAGGACCGGGCCGCGGGGACACTAAGCCCCGAAATCCTCTCAAGATCTCAAGATAACCTCACCTATTAAGTCCGCTACATCGAATATCATGTCGCTATAATTGGTACAATTAAGCTTTATTTTTAAAGGATTTAGTCAATTCCGTTCAAAAAAATGCAACGCATTAGGCAGGACGATTGGTTGAGAACGCAAATCACAATGGATAAACCAATCCACAAGGGCCGTGACGAGGATTCGAACCTACGTCCGGGAGCATCCCAGACGCTGCCTTAATCGACTGAGCTACGGCATGGTTAAAAGAATTGCAACCAGAAGTTCTACCAAACTCAAAACGAACACCCAAACAAATGCTAAAACCTTTACCACCAGAACTAACGCCACATCAACCTCCTTCAAGCAAACCTGTGAAACTGACGTTACTAGACGCCACGATGTTCTTGTCAAGCTTATCAAGCTTGACCTCGGGCCGGGCTTGGGGAGTAGAAGAACTCCCAGAACCCCATCAACCAGGTATGAACCAAGTATCAACCAGATATCCACCTCCCGAAGCCGCTTGCCTCCGGAACGAAGGGGTCCAACTTACCCGCTTGCGCTCGGCCCTAAAACGAAACCCCATTCCATATAAACTTTAGGTATTGTTATGGCCGCTGCTGCTCTCTTCCTAGCTGCTGGTGGTGGTGGTGAGGGCCGCTCGTCTGACGGACCCTGATGTGGTTTTTGTCCCGGGTCGAGCGATTAGACCACGAGCCGAGGGGGAAGGCTGTGGCGTTTGGCAGCGAGATGAGATGGATGAGATAAATGGATTCTCACAGATTTGAAGAGTCAGCGAGATTGCTGTTTGCGTGTTCCCCCCTCCCCCTCC